TAACCTCCCTCGACCTGCTGGCCATGCTCTTCTTAATGCACCCCAGGATCTCATTGGTCTTCTGGGCCATGAGGGTACATTGCTGGCTCAGTGCAGAGCTTGTTGTCCACCAGGACTCCCAGGTCCTTCTGCGCAGAGCTGCTTCCCAGCAGGTCACCTCCTGATGTGTACTGGTGCCTGGGGTTATTCCTCCCAAGGTGCAGGACCCTGCACTTGCCTTTCTTGAACTTCATTATGTTCCTCTCCACCCAACTCTCTAGCCTGTCCAAGTCTCGTTGAATAGCATCCCAGCCTTCTAGTGTATCAACCAGTTTTGTATCGTTAATAAATTTGCTGAGGGTACACTCCATCCCCTTGTCCAGGTCATTGATGAAAATGTTGAATAAGACTGGACCAACCACTGACCCTTGGGGCACACCACTAGCTACAGACCTATATATATAATTTCTTGTAAGTTCATCTGAGTGCTTTAAAAATAATTGCGAAGCGATCAAACATGGGGATTCAAGTAGTGAAAGGTTAGCAGTTCTTTCTGCCTTAACAACTCCCTAAGAACTGTAGCTGTGAATCCTTGTCAAGTAGCTGGGGGAAAGCACTAGAGGGCTCCCCAGGATCGTCGCTGGGACCCGGCTCCTGTTCTTCCAACAGAAGACGGGAATGCTCTGCAATAGGAAGACTCGGTATATTGAATGTGGAGGTCCGTGTTGCTTGACATTTGGCAGTAATGATCCGAAGACTTCGTTTAAATCTTTGCTTTTTTCTCACAGAACGTGGCTTAAATATATGCATTTATCTCTTATGCATGTTGCATCGCTGAACTAGAGGATTAATTTATAATGCTGTTTACTAAAGGGATGAGGGCTTAAAGTAAATGAAGATCAGTTGAGAACCTTGTCTCTTTCCTCTTCCCTCCTTTTTTAATTTAAGGTCACAGCCAGAAGTTCAGCAAAGAGTTGAGTGCCTGTAGGAGTTGATCTTCCACTGTGGGATGGTACAAATTCTATAGCAGAGCCAGGTTGAGCAAAATTCCTTTTACCATGTAAGCTACCTGCTATATATCTATCAAAAATGGAGTAAGGTGAGCCCTAGAAGAGGAGTCATTTATTCCCTCTTCCCATTCTCCAGCTATTGCAGAATACATTTTCTTCTTCTGTGAATTAAATGTGAAGAGGAAGATGGCCAACCCTTCCTTAAAAGACACATCTCAATGTTAACATCTTTTTTAGATTCTTATAGTGTTCTATAAGAATCTATAACATCTTTTAGATTCTTAAGGTGTTCTACAATAGTCTCCCATAGCTAAAAAAAAAAAAAAGTCCCATGCTCTGATCCCAAGATTTAAACTGAACCTGAGTAGTTTCACTGGTCCTGTAGGTAACTGGAGTCTGTCATTGCTCACTTGTGACAGATTGTGTAATATCATTCTAAACTATTAATTGCTTCCATAGTTCTGTGTTTAATTCAACTTAGTAGACAGGCAGTAGAATTTGAAGTTCTGGTAGGGAACAACTGCCTTGCCTTAATTTTTACATCACCTTTGCTTTAAAAAAACTGGGCAGGGTGAATTTCAGTTGTCTGGTCTAAAACTTGTAAACAGATTCATATGTGTACCTGATTTCCTCCTCGTTTAGCAGCATGGGGATGGTTGGTAGCCTATTTATTTTTTATTTATCATTCCCTCCAGCACTTCAGAACAGAAAATCCCAATAAAGTGCTAGTATATTATCATAGCAGAAGGCTTTTTAAAAAAGAATCTAAGCTCTTGTTCTGTCCTGTCCTTGGAGATCCCCCACTCCTGAGAGCCACTCCTGGCTTTTGCTCTTTTCAAGAAGAAACTTATGACAGTATTGCAACAATGGGGTAGCTTTTACAATCCATTTTACGTCCAACTCCATTTAAAGGACTCAGGTATGAAACCTATTTTGTAAGTTTTCTCTGCACTTTTTTCCACAGTGAAATTAAGACATTTATACATACTAAAATGTTGAACAATAAGGGTAAAAAAAATGAACTCCTCTCACTTGCTGTTGACTCAGAGGAACAAAGCTAAGACATTGCTGAGTAGTCTTGAAAGTTCTGTCTTAGTGTGTAAAAAAACAACCAACCAACCAAACACTTGTTGCATTTTGTTTCCTATCTTTGTCTTTTCTATCACCATGCACTTTGGTTTTATTGCTATAAAACACATATTCACCCTCTTGAAAGTTCATCTAACTTTTGCTTTGTTTGCTGTAAAAATGACGACTTATGTCATTTTATGGATGCATATTTCTTTTTTCCTGTAGCTGCTGTTAACACACTTAAAATATGTTGAATTCAACTAGTGAAAGGTTTGATAATCAGCCATGGGTTAGTCATGTTTTCTAAGATTTGTAAAGCTGCCCTTGTTTCTGACTACCTGCTGACTGCTGAAATAGTTCTGTTGCACTGCAGATATAAATTATATTTATTTTGGTTATAGTTTATGAATCATTATGCACTAGCGAGACTGTCTTCTCATATTTTTTCCTTTTTTTAAACTTCTTACAAAACATTTCTGTGGCAGAGTGACATATGTGTATGTATATTTTTTATTTTACATAATTATTATTTATTTAGAAGTTACCTATTACATAATTATTGGTTAGTATTCATTGTTCATTTGCTGGACTGATTTCTGACACATCTGACTGATGTGCCTTTTTTTTTTTTTCCCCCCCAGAGGAAAGGAATTGTATGCTATACTTTACTTATTTTTACTGTTGTTTGTAATTCTTGGACTACATTCTTGGACTAGCTCTCCAAGCTTGGAGATTAGTGCAGATAGTCAAATACTCTCCCTTTTTTCATGAACAAATTCTAACAAGTTCTTTAGTTGTTAGTGGCATTAAAAAATAAATTATCATAAAAGGCATACTTTTTTAAACTTTAATTTCCTTTCCTGTGTTGGTAAAAGTTCTGTAATAAAGAGTGCAGTGGGCTAATTGTTGATGTACAAGTGAAAGAATTTACAAAATTAGTGATCAATTAGAGTAATGCTCACTATTGCAACTGTATTTTGCTGTTGAATGTTTGTCTGCAACAGAGGATCTTTGCTGACCAGCAGACTTTTCCTTCTAAAGAAATTGGCAACCTCTCAAAAAATGTGGCAAAACCTTGGAACTTGTTTTGTGCCCTTTTATGTGTTACTAAACATACTACATTAGAGCTGTTCTCTCATTCTGACCTTTAAATCAGTTATTAGGCGTCTGGTACATGCTAATGCCTCACCTTGGTTCCATGTGAGAGGAACAGAGAGAGAGGGAGAAAGAAGAAGTAGCAGGGATACAGTATGATTTATGTCTTGAGGGGGGAAAAAAGCAGAGAGAGAGGGGAAAGGGAGAGAAGTTTCAAAATTGTAAATAAATAGGTGTAGAATGAATGATGCCTTTCCACTTGACCAATTTTAGTGCACACAGGGATCTTCATTGCAAGTGGAGGGAAGGATGTGCTTACCTGGGCAGTAAGTAGTTCAAGAACTTTACATCAGCACATTTTTGTCTTTTTTTATTAAGTATGATAAAACAAAACTATAATTATCAAATAAAGGAGTCATGTATTGTGTGTACTCTTTTGAGTAAGAACTCTTTACATTAGGCCCACCTCTTAGTTCACAGAAAGAGGAAAAAGGAGGAAAAAAAGGCACCACAAAGGAAGAAGGAGATAATATACTGTAGGATAGTTAGATATGGAAAGGAAAAAATTACTTCTCTTTTGGGCTTTGTCTCATTCTAATAGCTTTCTACTTTAGCTCACCCTGTGAAAGATATCTTACTATCTTTTCTGCTGGCTCTGCTGCAGAGGTTGTTACCAGTCAATGCAGAAGGATAGTAACTTCTAAAAATTCTACAGCAATTTTTCCGGGAGTAATTTTAGCTCCACCAAGATAGCATCAAAGTAGTAATTGCTTGAAATTTGCAGCCTTTGTAATAAGCCATAATACATGGGTGAGAATACTTTCTTATATACTAAATATACTTCTTTGGTGAAGTGTTTGTGTGTTCTATATTAACCACTTCAACCTGTTAATTTAAAATACATTTTGCATTAAGACTTGTCTAAATTCTGAAAGTTTAGACAATATATATTTAATATTAAATACATGGCCACATTTCTCATAAAACTAAATATATGAAAAATTAGAATGTTTGCATAGTTTTTATATTTTTATATATATATATATATATGCATTTGCCATTAGGATAAATTTTCCATTATTTACTTCACTGTTGAATTAGGAAGTCTTGGATCACTGTAATAGCTTCTGTGAGGATGGGATTATAAAACCAAGTAATATGAAAAAAATAGTATTCTTTCTGTGGAGGTAGCCTTTTGCCTTATAAGCTCAGCTTCATGATGGTACTCCTTGGTGTTTACTGTTGTGTTCCTATAAAATATGATGCAGTTCTGATGGATAGGCGCAAACAGCAGAATTGTGGCTGTGAATTTTCAGACTCAGATTGGTTACAAAACAACTAAGCTACTGATACAAATGTCTCAATATTACACATTATGCTTGCATCATTTTAGATGTGCTGTTTCTGGGAAGATTACCATACTATTTGTGCTTTGGAAAGAAGGGGGTGTACATATGCTATGAATTTGTGTATAAACAAAATGCTTTTTCAATATATTCAGTTTCTTTTTTGTTTTGGTAGGTATGTTTATATTCCATATCCTTATTGCTTTTTATCATAGAGCATCATACAAAAATCCTTTTCAAAATTCCTTCTTTGTACAGATAGTTCTGTCCTTGAGAAGATGGGAGACAGTGATCACAGATAACAGATGGTAACCACATTGTTTAGTGCAGTAGTTGAAACTTTACGTACAGCAGTGATAAAGGCTATTAAAATTCCTCCATTGCATGATGTAGATTATAATTTCTTTTAGAGTTCTAAATTAGGAAAAGCATATAGGAATGTCTTGAAAGTAAAACAGGGGGTTTTTGTTTGTTTTTGTTTTTTCTATTATTATTTTAGAGACATATTACTATGTATCTCCTTTGGTTGGTGCCTTTTTTTTGGCTCTGACTCCGATGGGGATTGTCATAGCTGCCAAACACCCAGCTACCAGAACTGTTCTCCATTCAGGATGGGAGCCTGTTATAACTGCCATGGTTATAAGCAGGTAAGTCTATTTGTCTTGCTTCATCTTGATAGTCATCCTATGTCTCTGTATATCTTATTTAACACCTGATTGTACTTAAAAGAAACATTTAAGGAGCCTCTAGAATGTAGAGTGTGAATAAACTTTAATCTTCCCAAATCAAGGAAGTTAAAAGTTAAGTCACAGGTCGGAATGAGTGGGGGAGGCAGCAGTAGCCTGTGGCAATGACTGAGCAGAAGTGTGCCGTATCAAATGGAGGAAATGGTGAGCTATTCATCTCCTGCAGTTTCCAATCAAGATTACACACCGATCTAAGAGATTATTTAATTCAGTGAAAGTTATGAATCTTAAAAGTGGAGTGTTTGGCTGAAATTCTATGGTCTTTGTTATACAAGAAGTCTATTTTAATATATAAATAACTATAGTGATGTTAGTCTGTAGCTGAGAAGGAGGTAATGGGGTGGGGAGGAAAGATGAATTAAGAAGAAAATTGTGGCTTGAAGATGTTCTAAGGCAGATTGCTAAAAAACGTTTTTAAATACTAATTAATGTACCTGCTTGCCTTATTCTAAATATTGTTCTTTGGTTTTCAGTATTGGTGGCCTTATTCTGGACACAACTGTATCTGATCCTAATTTGGTTGGAATTGTTGTTTATACCCCAGTAATTAATGGTAAGATTCTGACAAGATTATGTGCTACTATATATCAACTGATATACCTTAGACTGAGAAAAGTCTATTATAGTACATTTCTGTTATGCTAATTAGTATCATCTGCTACATTATTTTCAAGTTTTGATTTTTATGTAAATGGCAGTTTATTTGAACACCTAAGGAATTCTTCCGGATCTTATTTACTGTAGCCATTAAAACATGATAGAGAATGTGAGAAGTAGGAACCTAAAGTATGCATTAAGAAATAGCGTAAATATTGAGGTCATATATTCAAATGTTAAATGATCAAATATTATATTGAACTGGTTATGACTGAGGAAAAATGTAGATAAAATTTTATTTCAAAGGATTTTCTTATGAACATCCAAGGACAAATTTTCAAAATAGTGATTTGTTATCTACATGTAACGTACATAGATATCAGAACTAACAGGAATGCTGCAGGCAAGTAAATAGATTTCTCGAGAAAAATGTGTGTTGTTTCCCATGCTTGGTATGCATTTTCCAGGTGTGTAAGAATATATTTCTGAAAATTTGGTCCTTAAGTGTTCTATCATCTAAGGATAACCACAAGGCAAATATTATAAGAACAGTTAATATCTCTTAGACTGATGCAGTTTGAAAATGCAAACTTTTGAGCTTTTTTCCCCCTTTTTCTACAGTATCACAGGGTTGATACAAATATAGTTTGCAATAATTATAATCACCAGCTCGGATCCCACTGTATTGCTGCTTAGCTGTTCTTTTTCCCTTTTATATTTCTCCATTTGATTTCTTACATTATTTTGCACTTTTACATATTGTTGATTTTTAAACCATTTCTCCAATTATCAAGATGATTCTGACTTCTAATTTTTGGCTTACGAAGAACTTTTGACTTAACTTGGCCTTTGCAAATTCCATATGGATATATTCTATTCTGTTTTCTAAGCTATCACTTAAATGAATTACAACCACTTGTTTTCCACTTTGATAATAAAATGTTACTATGGACACTGAGTTTTAGTTTTGAACCACGTTGCCCTGATATAATTAATTTTCCAGAGGTTGCTAATGGAAATGTAGCATGGGATAGCACCAACACACTTTGCTAAGCTTTATTACAACTGAGAATTAGTATATCTATTGCTGTGCCCATTAGGCAAGCTGTTCAGTTAGAGAAGGAAATCATATTGTTTTGACAGAAGCGTGTTCTTGGCAAATTCATGTTAGCTCTTGTTTTACAGCTTTCACATCTTCTAGATGCTTATAAATTGTATTTTTAATAATTTGTTCTAATACTTATGTAGGAATAGAAATTCCACTCATATACAGATTCCCCAGATCATCCTTTTTGGCCCCTTTTTAAGATATATTTTCTGTTTTCCCCATTACAGCCCTCTGGTATTCTCTAATCTCCAATTATTTAATCAGTTTGCAAAAATGATCACTGATAATTCATGGATTGTTCATCTAGCTCTCTAAGGATGCACTAAATTTAATTTACCCTCAGGCCCTACAGACTTAATACATATCAGCTTGTGATCAGACATCACCATTTTTATGAAAGCAGTACACAAAAGGAATCAAGTATTTCAGTCTTCCATGGAGCATGTTGCTTGTTCTTCTTTCCCATATATTTCCTTTCTTCTCACTTTTACTATGAAGCATTTCTGTGTTGCCATTTGTGTTCCTTGCTTACTATAAATTCATTTTTACACTTCAGCTTTTATGCTTCCTTGCCTGTGCCTTGTCTTTATATTAATTTGAGATTGCAAGTGCTTGCACACCTTTTGTGTGTTTCCATTTTGATTTCCAGCTACCTAAAGAGCAGGGCAGACATGTTGATCTTCAACATTTTTCTGCTTTACATCTGAAACTTGTCGTATAATAGTCCTTTTTAGTAACCCCTTAGATTTGCTTCCTAAGAGAAGAGGATTGTTTTTCCTTTTTTAGGCAGGTGTACCCAAACCAGTACTCTTACCAGTGGTCCTGCTTTCCTAGATGACATCCCCTGATTACACAAGCTAACAACTGTCTGGTGATTGTTTCTTCCTGTTTCCCCATAGGCTTCTATTTCTGCTCCAGTACAGAACCAGAATACTTCTGGATTTTCTCTATAAACTCACTTATTCTCTAGACTCACTTCTAGACTTGCTACCTACAATGGATACAGGCCTTTCTCAAGGCCTCAGGCTCCTACCAGATGTTGCAATGATGATGGTCTTTTACCCTGTAGCAGTTATGGACTGCTTTTGTAAGTGGAACTATGCATCCTGTTCAAGGTCATTTTCTTTCACAGAAATTGGCTGTGAAACCTGGATTGCCTGCATGTTGACGTTTTACCTTTTTAACATTTTTAGCTAATGATTGGACTTAAGTCAATAATATTAATTGCTAAGAATGACAGCTTACTATAAACATGCCTCTAGAGAAAAGGGTAAATGTACCACTTTGGTTTTTATTTTCTCTTATAAGTTTATCAACAGCATTAAAGCAACGTGCCTACATTCTTTTAAACTATCTTTAGAGAAAAAGAAATATCAAAAAGCTGTACATAGCCCTGGATCATCAGCTGACAAGACAAAACATCCTTGATAAATTAGGCAAGTGAAGAGAGGGAAGGCTGGGGCTATTGGAGCAGGCAGGGAGGGAAAGGGTCTGGGAAGGCAGGGACAGCAAGGGTCATGCTTGTCGGTGTGGCAGTCCCACAGTGGTCCTGTGGTGATGATTCCTGCAATGATTGTAGCACCTCCATTCAAAATGTTGCTTTTTCATAAGAGGTTTTGTATTTCTAGATCGTTCTTAGCCTTTGGCATCTGCCCACTGGACTATACTACACAATGCCTGAGACTGTTATTTTCCAAGCTACACGAGGTGCTTTACTCTGTTGTTCATCTGGGTTTTTCATGCTTAGCTCCTTCTTTTCTTGTTATGTATAAAGCAGTTTTCGCCAGTTCTCAAAGTTTAAACTTTTTCAGTGACTGTAATGGACCATCAGTGGGTTGTTTGTATTCCTGTGTTTGTATTTTCAGGACCTTTGCTATTATCCCAAACTTAAACTCTGCATTGTAAGAAAAGAAACCTCATACCAAGCTCCATTTCTGAGTTCTTAACAAGGTGACAACAAGCCTAATAGGCCAAGACTAATCTTGCAATGCCAGCATAAGGTAAAGTTAGCGTAAGGCCTGTGGCCCATTACTAGTGTTAGCAATACTACTTTTGCAGTGCCACTGGGTGACAACAGAAGCACAAAGGAATCTGGTTTTCCCTCATCCACAAAAGAGCAGAGGGGAGTAATGTGCAAGTGTTGTATGCGCATGTGGTAACCCTCACAACCCTCAGAACTCTAAGGAGAGAGGTATTTCTATTGGAAAATATAGAGTAAAATATATTCTGTGTAGAAGATGCAGAGTTTTATGGTACACCTCCTAGAAAAGGAAATTGTAGGTAGGTGATTTTTTTTGGTTGCTGTTAGATTAGCCTCTCTTGGGTTTCATAATTCTGCTGGCACCTTTTGATATTGCTGGTCAGTATAGTGTAGTAAACTGGAGTTTAGGAAATCTTTCATTAAAAAAGCACATCTATTGACGCTCATTTACTGACATAAAAGGTGTGCTAGACCACTTAACAGACGGCTTTTTAAATATTACTGTTGCAGAAAGCTTTCTTTACCAGTGCTTTCCTGGCCTTGGTATTCTCATTGTAAACCTAAGTAGTGAAAGGAGCTGAGGGTTTTCCCCTTAAAACACTTTTCAGATGCCTTTTCCTTTCTCTTACCTTTAAATTTGCTACTCCTATGACACGGGAAACCTGAAAGAAACCAGGGAAACCTGAAAGAATTATTGTAATTTATTGGGATTGTGTCCAGCGAAAATTTGAGGACAGTGTGAATTTGTCCAGGATTTCAAGCTGTCACTGGTTTTTTTTCAGTGCCAGTTGCCATATCTCGAAATCCTGAACAGCATGCACTGCAAAGTTGTCAGGTGTTGGGCTTCCTGTGTTTGCCATTAAGTAGCTTTCAACTTGGTCCTGTCAGGTGACTTGCATATTCTTAGATGCGAGACAAATTACTTCATCACATATGTTACAGTGTGGAGCCATAAATCTTTTAGTTTAAGAAATATTGGTCTGGAATTTGAGCGCCTCAAAGGTTCCTACCCCTATTAACAATAACTGCAAATATTTGCCAAGAATATTAAAGCAGATCTTAAGCAGACAGGCATTTATAGTCAGCTTTCCTGCTGGTGGCCAGAAGTATTTTACAACCACTTTTCCATTTCCCCCATTAAACACATTTCTTGAGATGAATAATTATTTTTAATTCTATGGTTGGTTGGGTTTAATTGTAACTCTGCTTCTTAAAAATAAATAATTCATTCTGTGGTTTCAGCCATTGTGGTACTTTAAAACTACTTCAGATTTAGATGTTTGCGTGTGATGTACTGAAGTTCTGAATAAAATAACTCAGCACAAGCATGGCTGTGCTTCAGCCTAGATACTAAAGTTGATCTTTATGTTTTCTAATGGATGAGATGGTTAAAATTTGCAAATCCTCTTACAGCATCACAGCGTGTTGAATTTGGCTCAGGAATTGCAATTTGCAAGTAACTGAATTCCTTTTGTGCAGAAAAAAAGATAATGCCTTAAACAATTATATGCTGCTGAATATGCAGCTGAAATGAACTAAGGTGCAGTTGCCAGATAGAGCCACTTTCCTCTCCATTTTTGTTGTATGCTTAAACAAAACATTGTGAGATATCTTCTAAGTATTTGCATTTCAGGAGTTACTGCATAATAACAAACATGTTGGTAGACCTTACCCCATTTTTATGCATTTTGTAGAATGGAGGTTCTGCAGATTAATTCTGAAAACATCTGAAAATCAGAAATGTTTGGCAGGCTTTATGTAGAAAAATTTGCCTTTACAGATGGTTTGAAGCAATACTCTTTAAGGGTAACATAAAACTGTTGTAGCATTTCTTACTCATGTTGTAAGATTATTTGATATCTGGAGGGAATAAATGTAGATCAAGGAATATGAGAAACCCATATGAGAAAATCTAACACAAAACTTACTGAATGTCTGCTGTCTGGGAGATGAAAGTTAAGCTGTGTAGTATATTCCCCAAACCATACCTTTTTTATCTATTAGTAGGATAAACTGAACGACAAACTTTCAGGTTTTTCAGAGAGCTTTAGCTGTAAATTGGGTGCTTTGGAGAATATGGAAAGAAGATACCCAGAAACCATTCATCCTTAAAAAAGAAAATGCATTTCTTAATAACTTTGTGTATTTTAATTTCTTATAGCATAATTGTACTTTCAGCTTTCACACAACAGAGCAGTGCTTTGATTAGAAGATAACCATTGTCTCAGACAGTTGAGCATCTGAAATTTGCCTCTGTAAATTACAAGGGAAAGCATTAGTATGGTAGTGGAGCAATTTGGCTGGGTAGCAAATTAATTTTTCTGCATCCTGAATTGGAGAGAATGTGATAGTCTCTGAAGGCACCTGTACTATATGAGAACTTTATAATTCATTCTTTATTTTCACACGGAAAAGGAGGAGGGGACATTTAATTCCACTGCCTTATTGGGTGATGATAGTTTTACTACTTTTTAGTTGCTAGCCTGAACATGTAAATCTGCATATTCTATGCTATTAGAGGCGTGTGTACTTTCTTTAACATCTTACTTGTAAACTTTTTATAAGATTTCAGTAATTATTAGTTTTCATGTTAAAATTATATCCAGAATATTTTCATTTTTTGACAATCAGAGAACAATTTTGAATTAGGCATAGGAAAGAAATTATTTATAAGCCAAATGAAACATAAACTACTCCATTTTAAAATGTAATAGTTTGCATATATAATGGTGTCTCAAAGACTTGTCTTAAAAAACATCCCTGAAAAGCTAATAATTTCCAACTGTTTTCCCCAAAACATTTTTAAGTATTAAAAAAAATGCTACAAAGTGCAAAGGAAGATAGAAGAAATATGGATGAAAAAACAACATTAAAAAAAGTACCTAGTTAAGCTAGGCTTCTATTCCAAGTATTTCATTTGCATAAAACATGATTTTTTGAAGTTAGTGATAAAGAGGTCAGGGCAAAAATTGATCTTGAATTTTCTGAAGGATAATCTGATTATTCAAAAATTTAGAGTTTTTAGTCACTATTGTAACTAAGATTCTTTCCCTTCCTTTTAATTTCATTTTTGTAATACAAATGACATCCAAGACCAAGTTGTTGTTAAACTCCAGAAAGACTAACTGGGACAGCTGACTATTTTGAACCATGGATTGTACACAGGAGTGCACAAAAGTGAGAACGTTCTTGCCTTCATTCTCTTGATAGATTTACAAGAAAAATCAAGTTGGGAATTGCGTTGGCTTAATTCTTCCCTTATGTTGCGTATCAATTGATTTTTGTCCCAATGCACAAGCTATATTGTAGATGCTTGGAACAACATGGTATTCTGTCGCGGGTTAGTCTCTCTCCATAGAACTCGACTGCTAAAAATGTTTATTCTTAATGAATTGATACGCATATGGCTTGCCATTTCTACACAATTATTTGTGTGCCCTATCATGCAACTATTCTTTGTAGTCTCGTGAACAGTTCTAGCACTGTTCATTAAAGCTGAGTATGTAGGCTTTATTTTGTGGTCTCAGTGCTTTCATAGGAGGCAGGAACCTCCCTTCATTTATATATATTTAAGAAAAATTAAAAAAGGAAGAATGAGATAGGGACCTACAAGAGAGAAAGTGAATCTATAAATAAGGTAGTTGAATACTACTTTAGAAAATTGTTCTTCCCTATCACAGTTCTCCTCTGGTGCTAAACAATTTCCTTAAACCAGATTTTTTATTAATTAGTAATAACTTAATTATTCTCTTTTTCTGGAATCCCTGATTAGAGATTCTGGATCTGACCTGCAGAAATACTAAACATTTATTGGTACAAATGAAATAATTGAGAAATCTGCTTTAAATACTAAAACATTGTGGGGGGGACACCTTAAATATTTTACATTGGATATCCAAAACTGAAGAATGCTCTTTGCAGAGAGTACAAAAATATCACTTCACAGGCATGTTTTAAAAATAAATGCATTAATGTTTGTAAAGCACTCAGATTTATAGTGACAAGCACCACTGAAAAGCAGAAAGGAAACTAGGAAGTCTCTATTCAGTCCAAGCTTTGAATTGAATAGTGCATATTAAGTAAGATTATCAGGTATTCATCATATG